TCACAGGAAAATTCGAGTCCGTTGGGAGAACGCATTCGCAGCGTCGGGAAACTCACGGGGAATTCCGCGGAATTCCAGGGAATTTTCAATAAATTTTAGCCTGATATTCTACTTGTCTTCGGGGAAATAAATGGGAGATTAATAATTTTATGGTTTTCATTTTCGATATCAGGAAAATCACTGGAAAATTCCATGGAATTCCCAGAAAATTCAGGCCTGAAATAATTACTCGACTCATTTTGGTACTTTTGAAAAATATTTCAATACCTTTTCCAGAAATTTTTGGAAAATTTGGAAAAAATATTCCGATTATAATTTTTTTTCCCGGAAATCTGTAAAAATAATCTAGAATTCCAATAATATTCCAGAATCCCGAAATATGGTGTCACAGAATTCTGAGTATTTAATTCTCTTGAATGTTGAATGTGAGATTAATAATTACTAATTTTCTGATTTTCATTTTGGACACGCGGAAAATCCCTGGAAAATTCCGTAGAATCCCCAAGAAATTGAGGCCTGAAATGATTATTCGACTCATTCAAAGTAAAAGTGAGATTAATAGTTGTATGGTATTTTTCTCAATGGATTGGCTTTGTAAATATATATCTGTCCGGTTGGAGGCCGTGTCGATCCGTCGGAGCATTTACTCGCTGCTATATACCCTGCGGTGTTACGATACGGCGAACAAGCCGTAAGCTTCACGGCCTCTTTGTCGGTAAGTAGCCTTGCCGCAATATGATACACGCTTTCATAAAATATCTCAACACTGCCCCGTGAGATCTCTCTCCCAAAAGGTTGCAGAAAAACCAACCAACATGGACACTATCGTTTTATCCTGAGGCGATCGTCAAGTACTCGTGGTTATTGTTATTTATCATCCGGACAATGGAATCGATTCCTGATTAATAGATTCATCGATTCATCAATGGATTCCAGGGTACGCGTGCCAAGTGCTTTCGATCAATCGATTTTTCATGGGATTTTCTAATTTGTGATTAAATTACCGTCAGATTTTCTGCATTTGGAGTGATAGTCGGGTATCGGTGGCCGGGAGGTGCCTCCTGGGGGGTCGAGGATGTCCGGATTGTCCTGTGAGAATTCACACGACCCCGAAGATGGCCTCTGGTCGTAAAGTATCTTCAGAGATTCACCACTTCGATATGAATGACGCCATATGCCTTTTCAGAAAGAAAAACTATTAGACTCACGTCCTGCAATTCCATTTTCTAAAATTGAATTCGCACACAATATATTTAATTGGTTTTTGATTTTCAAGGTCTTTGGTAATTAGTGCAAATTTTTTTTAATGAGAGTTTTGAGAATTTTTTTGAGGATTCAGGGGAGCATGGAGATCCTTGGAATGTTATGTAATTGATATTTCATGTAGGATAATTTTCCGATGGAGATACGTTATTCCAGCGCCAACAACTTGTTTCGCCTACGAGCCATAATTTATGTATGACCTTCCTGGACGTCCAGGTATTCGAGATCCTATATTCTAGTTTCCTGATTAACCAAATCTTATCTCCCTTGACGAAACCTCTCCTCCCAATCAGAGGTACGTGGGTTTATTCTCTTCGGAGATTTTATTTTTTTCTTCTCGAAATATGGCTTCCCACGGTGCTATCTGTCTAGGATTTTAAAACTGAATTCAACCAGTGATTTATTGGTAATTTCATTAATTCGTGTGCACGCAAAAAACGAGATACTATATTATTTTATCATTAAATCAATCTTTGGTATTTTCAATGGTTTTCAATTTTTTTGAAATTTTCCAAAATTTTCTGGAAGACTTTTCAGAAAATTTTTTTTGTGAAACAAAAAAAAATTGAAAAACAAAACAATTTTATTTTTGGGAAAGGTTTTGAAAAATGTTTCTAAAATTTGAATAGAAAAACATCTTTTATAATTTACAAAAATACAATTGTTTTGTTTCCCGATTTTTTTTGGTTCAAAAAAAAATTTCGGAAGTCGTCTACAAATTTTTTGAAAAAAAAAAATTTTTTTACCCATATTACATAATAAAAATATTCCATTTGTTTCTGCCAATGAAATATCCAGAATCCCGCAATCATTCCTAAAATAATAAAAAAAAAATTCGAAATATTCCTGAAAATGAAAAATCTGGAATTCCAGAAATTTTACAGTTTCACACCCCAAAAAAAAAAACTATAAGTTGCATGAAGGGGGGGATGGGATAATGGGGTGGGTAAAAGTAGAAAGAGAGGGAGGGGGGCGTTCCATGGCACCCGGCATGGGGTAGGTTGCAGCTCACGCGACACTAGAGCCATCTATATCCAATAAGATTTATGGGTTCTGGCTGCAGCGGCTGTTCGTAGCACTGCACATGCCACAGTATCGGCACGACGTTGGTGTCAGAGATGGGAACGTGTAGTGGATCTATTCCACGATGCTGAACCCGTCCATGTTAGGGGGATATATTTTGTATTGCGTATTTCATAGTAGTAGTGACACTGACAATGGACGACACGTAGTGGTGGGCCCCCTGTCGCGACGGCATGCTGTTACCCCGCGGGGGTTACGCGCAATTCGCGCTCATGCACCGTACCACTGATAAATAAAAGATAAAAACAATAATAAAAAGAAAAACAACTGGAAAATGTGGAATAAGTCTTGATCTCAATCCGACTGGATCGGACAATCCTACCAGGATAACTTTTATCTTTTTCAATTCAACGTTCACCTTTCGTTTATCTTCATTTTATCTTCATTGCACGTCTTGTTTTGATATTTTTCACTGTCAAAGGAATGACTGATCGCTTATGGCGGCATAAATATCGGACATATTACAATAAAATTATAGTAAATTCTGTCGAGATTTTTTTTTAGAAATATGTTGATTAGGAATTCAAGGTGAATTCAGGGGAATTTATGAGGGAATTCAAATGGACTGGGACGGATGTTGCGAAAGTTAATGAGGTATAGCTGAAGATGTTTAAGATCTTCAAGTCTTTAAGTCTCGGTGGTTTTAGAATTTAAAAGTTGAAGCCATCGAGATGACGTTCATTATTTGTTTGCAAGTGTCTTAATTATTCTTTTTTTTTGTAATTCAAATCTGAGGGTTTTTTTGCGAGATATTGGAGTGCGAGGACTTCACGGGGTGAGGGCTTCTGTCGTAGGTATACCTCTGGTCTCTGTATGACTCTCATGCCGCCATTTTCACCCCTCCACCCTGATGCGGCCGGTTTACGAGCAACCTGTGGTAACGAGAGCGATAGATAATAACCGCTCAACCCCATCCCCCATTGCACGTCGTTTAACCATGGGTAGAAGAGATATCAAAATATCAAAATAAATTTTTCCCCGAATCCCAGGGGTGAAAAGTCGAACGGGTAATTGGGCAAGTACTGGCAGCCTCTTGGTTTGATAATGTCGGCCGGATGTTGGCGATCCAGCTGTCAATTGCAATTGCAATTGCAATTTTTTATTCAACACATGTCCGATAATTTTTAACATCAACTCGTTGAAAACTAAAATCACCTCCAGCACTAATTCCCCTAATTTCAAAGTGAAAAAAAAAGCTGTCGAAAAATCTCAGATAAATCAAAAAACATTCACGTCGTTTTTCGTGTCATGAGTTTAAAGTGTCGTTAGAGGTACGAGAGGCGCACGCGCGCGTCTCCCCAGCAGGAATTTATAGCGGCTTAAAAAGTCTAGCTCCCTCGAAAATCCTGATAAATGTACGAAGGAGCGGGACTCGTACGAAAGTACACGTGAGGGGATGGAGGCCAGAGAAGGACTTCCAGGATGGAGGAGAACCTGGATGTAGTCCAGAGGACAACAACACCAGCTTGGGAGGATTCGCTGAGAAAATTCCTAGGCCGAAAAGCAAACTCCCTGGGGTAGGGGTTGAAAAACGAACGAAATATCTCACCCCGTGCAAACAAGCCCCTCTACAATGGCGCTTATGCGAATTCATACGATTTCCGCATTAAGTAAAACTTGTATCAAGTCTTTCCCTCCCGAATCGTATGTTTGATCAAACGCTTTGCAGGAAAATACTGCGTCTTAAGGGTATTCCAACACTTGGCATATATTTTTCCTCAAAATCCTTATGTAAATTTTCCACGATTATTTGTTCTCTTTTCGCTGTGATCTCTTCAGATTTTCACAATCAATTTTTCCCGAAATTTATCTTTATTAATTCGCTGGGGAATTATTGTGATGTCTTGGGGCCCTCGGGATAAATAAAATGGAGAAGCGGACTAATGGAACCGAGCGTCGCATAAAACCATGTGTGATGGATAAAGAATGGAGATGGGAGGTGTGGGCTGAAGGCAAATGGATGCTGGAACGGCTGGCGCGAGTCTTCGGCCAGTGAAATGGATCCTTTGCCAGGGATTTTTCAAGATCTCTATTCTCATTCTCCTTCTCACTTGTCTGTTGCAACTTCCTCTCTTTTATTCCCAAACTCATATCTCGAATTTCGTTTTGCTACGTCGACGACCGAGAGATCCAGGACAAACAACTTTTTCGCGTTTGCCCTCGACGATGAGTTATGATGTTTCTACATTTGGGGAGATATTCGGTCGTTGCTGGCTCACCACAGAGTATTATTTATTTCTCGGGCAAAAACTTTCTAAATTCGATGAGTCTATTTTTAATTTTCCACAGGTCAATTCTGTCACCAGCAATATCTCGCGAAATACTAGAAAGTTTTCACGATGGGTTGAATGAAAAACCTGGGAAATTTTATTGGGAATATTTTCTTTTTTTAATTTTGTCTCTGCGATCTGTCGTTTTTGAGATATCGGCGTTTAGGCCACGCCTCTTTTTTGAAAATCAAAGAATTCCGCGGTTCATTCGATTTTTTATTTCTGGAGAACTACGGGAGATAGAAAATTGATTAAAAAAAGGTTTTTTTCGTCTCGAAATTCCCCGTCTTTTTTATCCGACGTGTATTGATGAGGTTCTCATATTTCCTGAGATATCGATTATGGAAAATTTTCTAATATATTCCTGTCAATTTTTTGTTCCAGGTGAGTGGCAGGCTGCTCCAACTGTTTCTGTAATGCCAAATAGGTGTCGATGTGCCGCAATTTGAAATCCGTCGAGTCGAAAAAATCTCTCGGTTGTGGCGTATTGGAAGCTGCACCGGTGAGTGAACCCCCGGAGTCTCCCGTAGTGAAAAAAAAAACCCGACACAATACACATCACTTAAATAATTGAGAGAAAGAGAGAGAGAAAAAAAAATACCCTAGGACCGCTGAAAAAAAATTCCACACGACCTTTCCAACAGCAATGATCAACAGTAGCATCGCCATTAGATTATCCTAGCTCTTACGTTGTTAAAGATTAAAAAAAAAATTTGTTCCTCACCTGTTCCTTTCACTCATTAGTGCATCGGCATCCGAATAGATTTCTTGTAATTTTAGTCGTGAATTAAACCGGGCGTTTCGTCCGATGAACGGGACCGTGCAACGAAAAAAAAAATCCGGGTGGAGAAATAGGATGTGAATTAACCCTAAAATTCAAAAGCAAAAAAAAAATCTCAATTCGCCAGTCGCGTAACAAATATACGTAATTATGATAATGTAAAAGTGAGAAATTCTCACGCGAAACTCAGATACGTAATGAAAAAAAGGCCACGAGTATTTCGTAAGTAAATTTAGAACCTAGAAAAACTGTTTAGAAAATTTAAAAAAAAAAAACGGCGCGAGGATTTCATCCCGGTGAATAAATATATTTATATAATATCGGTGTACAAAGTCACGAAAATGTTCAATTTTCCTAATAAACTATTGTAATTATTCGTTTGATATTGAATGAAAAATAAAAAAAATGTTCATGTCAGCGTATCCGTGAGTGAGCGACAATACGACGACTGCTGTTATTATATTTTTGTTATGTACATTTCTTTTATTTCTCGCGATACGTGCCGAGGACAAGCTTTTACCAACAGCTCGCAATATTTCATTTTGCCAAAAGTACTTGTCAGCACGTAATTTTCCCCCTCCTCTCCCCTCCCAAGCGATGATTGATGAAAGTCTGTCCTCAAGCGTTGCAAAATATTATATGAATATGTATATTAATGCATATGCATCGATGTTCAAATTTTTGTTATGATTACGTTGTAAACTTATCAAGTATTGGCTCAAAACAGCGGCGAACGGGTGCGCGACGTATGCTATCTTTTCCATGAAATCTATATATTTAAAAAATTGTGAAAATATATATAAAATTATTTAAGAGAAAAGTAAATCAACTCGTCCTCGATTGAAGTAAGTCTAGACATCGCAGAGAGAAAATTATTATTTCTCCATGGGATTTTTCACAGGCTTCAAGGAAATCCATAATTATTTTTAATCCATCCCAGAATCGAAAAAAAATTTAACTGCAAAGATTTTTTCAAATTCCTTGAGTCTAGAGTGAAAATCTCAACCTTTCACTCATATTTTTGGGAAAAAATCCTGGAGAGATGGGAGAAAGTTTTGGTAATGAGTAATTATTCCCTTGAAAATATAATTATTTTTTCTCTGTGACGAGAATAACAATGTACGTACCTACTTAGTACCTATGCTGTCTGAATGAGTGGAGAAAATTGCGTGGCGATACTCTGCAGTAATTTTATTCTAGTTAATGATTGTATACGAGTAGCTAAGAGACACCCGCCGTGGCAGGAGCCTTGGGAGACGATAAAGAGTTTAAAAAAAACGAAAATGCTGATAAAACAGACAAAAACCAGTGAAACGTAGTTGAAAACTCAAAAAAAAAAATGCAGTATTTCTAAGAGGACTGTAATTTTAATTATTTATTTTGCGGATCTCCGAGTTGAAGAGCCCTTTGATCGCTCCACTTGTACTATATACGTAACTAGATAATTTAGGTTCACTAAAGTGACAGTAAACTACGATTTAACTGTAGTTTTTGTGTGAACGTTGAAAGGGAATATCTTATTTCTTTCATTTTGTAATATATCAATTATTTACCGAGAAGCGAAATGATTCTGATGTATGTATCCAAAAGCGGGCAGAACTGCATCTGCCCCGGAAAAATCCGGAAAATACCGAGCAGTTGCTGTTCTGACCGCCATTGTACTGTTACGCTGATTATATACAATTGCTAAAAAAAATGAGAAAAAAAAAACGAAATAAATGACTTGAATTCGAAAGTCCTCTCGCTTCATTGCTCATGGTACCCATGACCTCAAAATTTCAGCCTCTCATTTTTTTCTCGACATCTCAACAATTGGCATTATTATTTATTATTTTCCTCCATTTTCAACCCATTTTCCACGTCTCCGGAAATTTAGCAAGAGTAAATGATTTTTTTTTATCTCCAACGACCGTAAAAAATTCCAATTATATTATTTATTAGAATATTCTTTTTATTAAATAAGAATTGATTTGTTAATTACAATTTGGATTCTCATGCTGATCGGGAAATGAAAAAAAAATTTAATTGAATTTCAGATAGATTGAAAATTCAGGGAAAATTTCTAGTGTAATTTTCCAAGAGTGCAGTGATAAATATTTGACTCTTCTGATCATTTGCAACGTTTTCATAAAAATTTACTGCATCATCTTTTAGCTCCAGTCTCCCCAGGACTCAGACGACGTGGAAACTGCAAACGATCCCATCCGTAGTCGATGTGACACTGATTTTTCCGGGTTTTGAATCCACTATATCAATATTTCATACAACTCGACTCCCTCAACGACTTAAAACTCATGTGGAAACGGTCACTACAACCCCCCAACCCCCCAACCCCCGTAACGACAATAACGTCGAGTCCAGTCCCGATGTTGATCCGAGGTCGTGGCTATCCCACGATAAGTCTTCCGTTATTAATATGTTATTGCGGAAAGACGCCCTCATGAAAGTCGACAAGTCCCCCGAAAAATATGTTTTTTTTTTTTTCTAAAAAAGATGGCACAACCCCGGGGAGAATTGTACATTTGTGCGTGTGTGGGAAAGGAGTGGTACGTGTGAGGGATGTATCAAATGCTGTTTCATGGAAAGCCACTGGTCGGGTAAAATTCAGCAGACGCCATTTGTATTAATGAAGTCGCCGACAATGGTACACGCCCGATGAATTATGTACCTGCGATCGAAACCAAAATGTCGGATAAACCCCCATCCACCCCCCAAACATGATTTTTCTCCCGAGGTGTAACCAAGTCGGTAAAGTAGGTCGGGATGAAGTTGGGGGTTGCTAGGGGGAAAAAACAAGTTCATTTTTATGGATGCCCTGGTGAAAAGTTGGGAAAACTGCGGCTCCCGGAATTTACGGAAAAGAATTAATATCTCATTTCTGGAGTTTTTTTTTTTAGGGGGAGGAGTTATTATCTGCGATGTAGCGTGCATCCGTCAGGGGGAGCGGTTTACTTTAGATTATGGGGGAGGGGTAATTTATAATGGACGAACACCTGTTCTTGGGGGAGAAAATGGGGGAGTTATTTCGGAAAATGGCGTGCCCTCCAGACGTTGGGTTAATTGAATCAGCAAAATTTTTACGAATTAATTCCTTAAAAATAAAAAAAATAAATAAAAAATAATTTAATATTATAAACATTAGATTTCTCTGAATATTTATATTTTTTTTTTAATCTCATTGGTGGTGCCGTTGAGCGGTTGAAAATTATTTTTTAGATTAAAAAAAATGAACGCCTGCCTCTTGGAATATTCGCGGGGTGATTTCCACCCTTCCGCGACCCTTTAATGGTATCTGAAAAAAACTCTTGGCTCTTATCGAGGCTGAGAACGGAAAGGCTGTCATCATGAATCACAGTTGGTAGTCGTGGATTTCTATGAGAACACCTAGTCCACGAAATTCACATATTTCCCAGCAATAAATGGCAATCTTCCATCTTGCCGGGGGTTTTTCAAGATAAATACGCATATCAGAATACATTTCTATATTCCCTATGGCACGAAAGCAATCCTGAGAGCAAAGTCTCAATTTTTTTGGCAGACGTATTCATCTCACGAGAAATAAAGCATTGTCCATTTTTCTGATGGAATTTCCCGATTTTCCAGAAATAAATCGAGAAAACTCGACAATAAATCGCATCCAGTCGAGATTCTCTCAGTAATAAATCTCTACTGTAATGTCAAAAATTATTTCAATCTAATTTCGTTGCTCGCAGGCAATAGATCAGAGATCAGGGATTCGTCAATTGATTGCGGAGTAGATAACGTGAAAAATAGTGAATGAATGTCGTAATTTATTTAATAATATTGATCATCCCTTACGTTTTCTGTAGCGTGCTCTGCTCTCATATAATTACTTGACTCCAAGTGTGCTTTCTCATGAAGAGTAGAATTGAGGTGAATTTTCCTCTGGAAGATAGTGTTGCTGGGGATCTTTTCATCTTCGTCATCCCTATACGAAAGGAGAGTCGAGGGTTGGATGGTGGAGGTTATTAGGGAACGCACCACCTCATCCCTCACCCATGTAACCGCGCCGCAACGTATATTATGTAACAACACGGAAACGAACCGTGCAGAGGGTGAATGCAGTCTAGATGAGCCTCCCTCATATTGCCCCCACCCTGTTCTAATATTCCGTTCATCCCTCCCTCGCGCAACGCAATGCTTCATTAATTTAGAAATAATGAAGGAATAATGTCCCGGGTAAAAAAAAAATTTTCAAAAAATTTATGAAAAAAATTGGAAAATAAAAATTTTTCAATAATTTTTATAGGAAATTTTTTTTTATAATTTAGATGGCGTTTTTTTTTTTAGAATATTAAAGAATCAGAAAAGTAAGAGAACAACTGTATAATTAAAAGAAAAAATTATATTCGCAAAAATTTCTGGAAAATAATTTTAAAAAAATTCCGTAACAAATTTTTGAAAAATTTTTCAAAACATTTTCCAAAATTACAATTGTTTTGTTTGCCATTTTTTGTTTTTTGAAAATTTGGAAAAAAATATTCCGAGTAGAATTTTTTTTGGCTCGACTGAAGTCGATTTGTTCACGTGCCCCACGGAAGCCCGTAAATCGAGAAAATCGTGTAAAACAGGACAAAGGAAAAAGGCGACTCGAAGTGAGACAGCGGTGGAAGCAACCCCTTACAACCCGCACACCCGTTACCCGCAGATAAATCTCCAGTCCTCTAATTGGTCTTACCCACCCCTCTGTACTCCTCACTTGAACCCATCTTTTTCCTCTTACCCGTCTATCCAACACCCGCGATTTCTGAGGTTCCACGCACCGGAGACACTGGGCACGGCTCCAGACCCCATCCCCCTCATTCCTCCAACTCGGTGAGAATTATTAGAATTATTAGAGATTATATTGGCCGCAGAGTGTCCGCTGACGCCCTCCAGGAGTTCAATTATGAATGAAATTCAGTTCTCGTAGAACTCGAAGGTGAGGCCCCAGCCCCTGCTCCAGATTTACGACCCCATGACTCCAATTGGATACGGCGGGAGGTGAAAAAAAAAATCAGAGCAACTCTCAGGGTCATCCTCATACCCTCGGGACAATGCATGCCCAGTTTTTTTTTTTTCTCCCGTGACAGCGTGAAACCAAAAAATATTGACTCCCGGGGGTAGAGCAGGTCGTTTCCGCAAACACTGGAGTCCGCGGTGTACCGTTAGGTCAGCGATTGTCTCGGATATTGAGATTCGGTGGGTCAGGTCTTCAGGTTTTCAAGCTGAAAGTGCCGATTTCTGGGGATCGGCTATCTTTATTGGTAGAAAATTCATGGCGACGAGTCGAGGTCAACGTGTACATGGATCTTATTAGATTT